TAGAGAGTACAGGTTGAAGAACTTCAAGCGTTCTCAGTAACTCTCAGTAACTCCAGTGCTTGGCAACATCTGTGAAGCCCTCCTCCCCCCCCCAAAAAAAAACATGGAACTTATTGATAAATTGCAAAATGTTAACATGTCTAATGATTTTTCATTAATAAGTTTTGATGTCACGGCGTTGTTTACCCCAGTGACTGTTCCCCATCTGTTATTTAGAAGAATTAGATGTGTTCCCTATACCATTCGATCACAACACTATCAATGAGTTGATTAAGTTATGTGTAGTGATTAATGGCAAGTTTGAGTTTGAAGGGAAATATTACACTCAAATGCAGGGACTGGCTATAGAAAATCCATTGTCCCCCTGTTAAGCAATCTATATATGGAGTTTTTTGAGACTGACCTGTTGAAAGATATCTTGTTACATGAAGCTCCATGAAATGGTTTAGATATGTGGATGACATCTACGTGAACATGTTTTTACCGAGACTTAACGCTTTTGTCACGTCCATTAAATTCACCGTGGAGAAAGAGGTGGACTTTCAACTTCCATTCTTAGACGGTCTGATCCACCGAGGTGACTGAATGTTTAAGTCTAGAGTATATAGGAAGGCCTTGATGTGTTCATATATTTATTATTACTCTAACTTATAACAAGGGTAAGAAGGAATGTCTCTCTCACTATGTTTTTCAAGAACTCACCCAGTGTGCAACCCATAGCTTCTTAACGAAGAAATTAGGAGAAATCTTTGATATTGCTGCGAAACTACGTTACCCTCTGGAGTTTATAGAAAAGGCTTTGCTGGCAGCTAGGAAAACTTGTCATAAGACTAAACCTACAATATCTTATCACATCAAGAACATGCCGGTTCTTCTATTCAATGAGAATATATGTCTTGCAAATGCCCTATAAAGATTCAATATACAAGTAGTGTTTAGGAATTCATGGAATGTTAATAGCATTTTGATCAAGAATTCCCTGCAGCCCTGTTTTCTCTGTGTTTTCAGGATTGAGCATAATGAATGCAACTTATCTTAAGTGGAACAGACTGGCAAACTTCTAGATAGATTAACATAGCACCGATATTCAATAAGAACAGTTCAGGAATCAAATGTGATATTCAGCCTCACATGAGTTTGCATCAATCCAGCAAACTGGTTGATAGCCAGAGTCCTGGTTCATTGTACCTTATGGCTGGAAACAAATATTTTAGAATCGGCAATTTTAAAACATGATAAACGTTCATTATATAACAATAAAACATGATAAACGTTCATTATATAACAATAAATTCAGATTATTCCAGTTCTATTCATTTATAATTAAGGCCATCATGTTTAACCTAAAACTGGATTCCTATATGAATGCTTTGGATTGTCTTAGGTGTCGTAGTTCACACCAAGGCCCCTCAAGGAAGGTTCCTTGATGTTGGTGAGGGGCTCTTGATTTAGGGAATTGGATCTGTGCTCCAGTTCCCCGAATTAAGCCTGAATGCCTTCCACATCCCCCCCCCAGGCGCTGTATAATCCTCCGGGTTTAGCGCTTCCCCCTTGATTATAATAATAATAATCCACACCAAGGAATTACGACCTGTTTTCCTGTTTTCTTGTTAGACCAGTGTCTGCCCAAGAGTCTAATGGAATAGATAAATTATAGACGTCTTATTCCGGATAAACTATACATGTCTCTCCTTTGTTTTAAGCGAGTCAGCCACAGATCTATTTCCTTAATATTATGGAATTTTCCTAAGACAGTTGACAGTTGGCCATGGTTGGGTGTCCAGTAGTTCGATCACTAGCGATCTCAGCTCACACACTGAGGTCCGGAGTTCGAATCTCCTCCGGTACGGCTGGAAAATATTAGGGACGTGTTTCCTTAAGACACCTGCTGTCGCTGCTCATCCATCTGGGTGTTAGTCAACTGGTGTGGGTCGCATTCTGGGACACTGACCTAATTTGCCGACATGCTCAGCATAACAAGCGGCTTTCTATATAGTAATATGCCATTGACGTCAGCAAGGCCTGTATACTATGTACATATACTTGTAGAGAATAAAGATATTATTATTATTATTATTATTATTATTATTATTATTATTATTATTATTATTATTATTATTATTATTATTATTATTTATTATATTATTGTTATTTATTATACACATATTTATATTCAGAGTTTAAAATATTTTATGTCGTATCGAAGTCTTACCGTGTTATTGAAAATGTGTTGTCACTAATGTTATATTCATTAGGTCATTACGATATTATCAGTGCTTGTTGTCGGGCTTTCATCTGATGCTTTAATACTCAGTCTTTCTGGCACTTTGGTACAGGTCGGTCTGGGTCAGAGCGTTTCCCCACTCCTTCATTAGAGTTAAAACGTTTTGCCTGAACAAATTTGCATCGACTTCCTACTAATTTCTCCAGCACTGCAGGTTGCCATTGATGTGTTGATTGAAATATGAAAAGCCTAGAGCCATCATTCCACTACCCCTGTGGTTGTTTTCCATCTTGCATCTCTTTTTCGCTATTATGATAGAGTGGATAAGGTGATGTCAACACATTTTGGTGAGAATAAGAAAATGTTTTTGACATAAATAAGTTAGGAAAGCATAGTGAACAAATGGATTTGAGAGTTAAAAACAAAATGGGGAAGTTGGTGTATAGAGAGTTGGAGGTATTGTAATGATGGCGGGAATATTTTAATGAACTGTAAAATGTTGTTGAAGAGAGGGGGGCAGTGATTTCATGCATTGGCCATAGAGGTATAACATCTTTTAGGAATGAAAAAGACCCGGATGTGAGTGCAGGGGAGGTGCATGAGGCATTAAGCAGAATGAAAGGAGGTAAAGCAGCTGGAACTGATGGGATCATGACAAAAATGTTAAAAGAAGGTGGAGCTATAGTTTTGGAGTGGTTGGTATTTTTGTTCAATAAATGAATGGAAGAGGGGAAGGTACCCAGGGACTGGCAGAGAGTATGCATAGTTCCTTTATATAAAGGGAAGGGGGACAAAATAGAGAGTAAAAATTATGGGAAAATAAGCCTACTGAGTATACCTGGTAAAGTGTATGGTATGGTTATTATTGAAAGAATTAGAAGACGGAGAGCAGGATCGCAGGGAAGTTTTCGTTGCTTTATGGATTTAGAAAAATCTTATGATTGGGGAGCAATGTGGCAGATGTTGCAAGGGCATTGAATAGGTGGAACGTTACTAAATGCTGTAAAAGAGTTTTTATAAGGACAGTTAGGCTCAGGTTATAGTGTGTAGGAGAGAGGGAGATTACTTTCAAGCAAAAATAGGTCTTAGACAGGGATGTGAAATGTCTCCTTGGTTGTTTAACATATTTACAGATGGAGTTGTAAAAGAAGAAAATGCTGGGGTGTTGTGGACACGGGTGGGATTAAATTATGTGGATTCAAGAGGGTTTCAGACAATTCAGATAAAGAATGTGTATCAGATTGGATGGAGGGAGTATGGAAGAAGGGATAGAAGGGATTGTGTTCAGATATTTGGGAGTAGATTGTCGGCGGATGAGTTTAAGAAGGCCAGGGTAAACCATACAATTGATGAAGGAAAATATGTGGGTGGTGTATTGTGGTATCCGTGAAGACAAAGAACATTGTCAATGGAGGCATGGGTGTGAAGCATGGGTTGTTGATCTTACAGCGAAAAGGAGGCTGTAAGCAATGGAGATGTAATATCTAAGGGCAATGCGTGGCGTAAATATTATACAGAGAATTCGTAATTTGTAACTCAGGAGGAGGTGTGGAGTTAATAAACATATTATTCATAGGGTTGATGATGGGTTGTTGAGGTGGATGGGTAACTTGGAGAGGATGGAGCAAAATAGGATGAATTGGAGGGTGTATAAATGTGTAATGGAGGGATGGAGGGGTAGGGGCCGTCCTTGAAAAGGATGGAGGGAAGGGGTAATAGAGATTTTGAGTGAAAGGGGCTTGGACACACAACAGGCACATTTGAGCCAATTAGAATGGAAGGAGACGAATGGGTTGTGGGACTTGACGAGCTGCTGGAGCATGAGCAGGGTAATATTTTGCGAATGGAATCAGAGAAACCGGTTAGCCGGACTCAAGGTGGAAAATACAATGCTTGCATTTTAAAGGTGTTTGGGATATTTGTTGTATTGCTGTTTGGGGTAACATCTGAACTGTGATATATGAACACCTCTGCAAAGACAGTAATTATGTGTGAATGATGGTGAAAGTATTGACTGACGGTAAAAGTGATACTTTTTGGGTCACCCTTATATATAAAATACTGCTTGTTGAGGCTAGTACACCAAACGGGGAGGAGAATTAAATTAGCTCAGAGGCACCCACACCACAGTATGTCCTCGGATCACAATAAAACGCCTAGCTCTACTGGGTGCCTGATTCTTGTAGGATTTAGTGGTCCTGTGGGTTAGAGCGTCATGTGGTTTTCACTCACAATGAGGCGGGACCAAAACAACATGGGTTCGAATCCTTGGCTAGTGCAGTGTTGTTATTGATGAATACCACTCGTTCGTGTTTACATATATATATATATATATATATATATATATATATATATATATATATATATATATATATATATATTAATTATTGTACCCACGGAACAAGTGGTATTGATCAATAACAACGCTGCACTAGCAAGGATTCGAACCCATGCTGTTTTGGCCCCCTCATTGTTGGAGAAAACGCATGACGCTTTAGACAACTAGACCACACAAGGAATTTGTGGTCTAGTGGTCTAAAGCGTCATGCGTCTTCTCTCACCATGAGGCCGGCCAAAACAGTATAGGTTCGACTCCTTGGCTAGTGCAGTGTTGTTATTGATGTATATATATATATATATATATATATATATATATATATATATATATATATATATAATATATTGCCTTCATCTCAACCGCTCTTCGTTACCACAGGACGTGGTATATCATACGCGCAGCTGCACGAGTCAGGACGTGGTGTATCAGAAAACCACCTGTTGATGTAACTTTCGACGACGTAAAAGGAGCGTCCGCTTCACATATTCTTAGTGTCACTGTAAGCCTGGTAACCAAGCCTGCACGAACAATGGTCCGGACCTGGCAAATCATCCTTCTGCTACTGACTGCCAAAATGGCGTCGTCTGGCTTGACTAGGTAAGACACTGTGTTTTGTATAATTGCTTCTGACTGCTAAATTTGACGCTCCTTTCTAACCATTTATACATGTGCTCTACCTCCAGCATTCAACATTGTGCTCTTGTGTGCTACTTGTATTAACTAAAAGTTTGCACATGTGTTCAACCTGTAGCATTTAATATAAAGAACACATGTGTCACTTGCAGAGTCACAGTAAGATTTTGTAGGCCCCTGGGCTACAGTGATTTTTCTGAAGGAAAAATAATTAAAGGAATATTAAATTCATTTTTACTTGGCTAACCACAATTAAAATTCCAACATTTGCTTTCCGTATTTCCTTGAAAACAAATTACTCCAAAACGTAGTGAAGTGTAAGGTGTTGAAAACATGTCTGGAGGACCTCCAGGTGGCGGAGACCCCTGGGTTACAGCTCCTGGAACCCATGCCCCGGCCCTGGTCACTTGTATCAACTAATAGTGTGTGTATGTGTTGTACCAGTAGTAACTAACAATGTGCAGATGTGTGTTAGCTGTTACAATAATTAAGCACATGAGTTCTCACTTTAAAAAATACCAAGCATATATATTCTACGTGAAGCAAATAACAATGTGTACATGGTTGCTGCCTGTAGAAATAATGTGCACCTGATTGCTGCCTGTAGAAAATAACAATGTGTACATGTGTGCAACGCGTAAAGAAAATAATGTGCACATGAATAGTATTTGCAATAGCTCTCAACATATGTATTAGCAACAGCAATTATCACAGTACGTGTGTATAGCGTTGAACTGACTGATAATGAGCATACAGCGACGTTATGTTGATCTTACTAACAATAAGTCATACAGTGGTCTAGAAGCTGATCTTACTAACATTGAACCATACAGTAGTTTTTAAGCTGATCTTACTACACTGAGCCACACAGTGGTCTTGAAGCTGATCTCACTAACAATGAGCCATACAGTGGTCTTGAAGCTGATCTTACTAACAATGAGCCATACATTGGTCTTGAACCTAGTCTAACTAACAATGAGCCATACTGTGGTCTTGAGGCTGATCATACTGACAATTAAGAATACAGTGGTTGATAAGCTGATCTTACTAACAATGAGTCATACAGTGGTCCTGATGTTGGTCTAACTAATAATGAGCCATGCAGCGGTCTTGATACTGTTCTTAATAATAATGACCAAACATTTGTCATGATGTTGACCTTGAGCCATAGAATGGTTCCAATGTTGGTCTTAGCAATAATGAGCCAAAGAGTAGCTTAGAAGCTGATCAGACTAATAAATGAGCCATACAGTGGTCTTGAAGGTGATCTGACGAACAATGAACCATACTGTAGTTTTGAAGCTTAACTTACTAACAATGAGCCACACAGTGGTCTTGAAGCTGATCTTACTAACAATAAGCAATACAAGGGTGTAGAAGCTGATCTTACTTACAATGACCCAAACAGTAGTCTTGAAGCTGATCTTACTAACAATAAGCCATACAGTGGTTTTCAAGCTGATCTTACTAAAAATGAGCAACACAGTATGGGTTTTAAGCTGATCTTACTAACAATGAGCCATACAGTGGTCTTGAAGCTGATCTTACTAATAATGAGCCACACAGTGGTCTTGAAGCTGGCCTTACTAACAATGAACAACGCATTGGTCGTGAAGCTGATCTTACAATCAATGAGCCACACAATGGTCGCAGTGCTGATCTTACTAACGATGACCCACATAGTCTTGAAGTTGACCTTAATAACAATGAGTCACACAGGGTTCGAGAAGCTGATCTTATTACCAATGAGCCAAACAATGTTCATGCAAGCTGATCATACTAACAATGAGCCACACAGTTGTCGAGAAGCTAATATTACAAACAATGAGCCACACAGTGATCGTGAAGCTGACCATACTAACAATGAGCCACACAGTGGTCTTGAAGCTGGCCTTAATAACAATGAGCCACGGAGGGGAAGTAAAGCTGATCTTACTATCAATGAGCCCACACAATGATCGTGAAGCTGATCTTATTAAAAATGAGAAACACAGTAGTCTTAAAGCTGACCTTACTAACAATGAGCCACACAATGTTTCGGAACCTGATCTTACAAACAATGAGCCACACAGTGGTCGGGAAGCTGACAACACTAACAATGAGCCACACAGGAAGTATTTCTTCAGTCATAGAGTAGTCAGGCCGTGGAATAGCCTAGAAAGTGACGTAGTGGAGGCATGAACCATACATAGTTTTAAGGCGAGGTATGATAAAGCTCATCGGGCAGGGAGAGAGAGGACCTAGTAGCAATCAGCGAAGAGGCGGGGCCAGGAGCTATCACTCGACCTCTGCAACCACAAATAGGTGAGTACAAATAGGTGAGTACAGAGTTCGTGAAGCTGATTTTACTATCAATGAGCCGCACAATGGGCGTGAAGCTGACCTTACTAACAAGGAGCCGTACAGTCCTCATGAATCCGATCTTATTACCAATGAGCCACACAATGTTTGGAAAGTTGATCTTACTAACAATGAGCCACACAGTGGCCGTGAAGCTGATTTTACTCTCAGTGAGCCACACATTGGTCATGAAGCTGATCTTACTAACAATGAGCCACACAGTAGTCATGAAGCTGACCTTACTAACAATAAGCCATACAGTGGTCGTGAAGCTGATCTTACTAACAGTGAACCACACAGTGGTCGTGAAGCTGATCTTATTAACAATGAACCACACAGTGGTCGTAAAGCTGATCTTACTAACAATGAGCCATACAGTGGTCGTGAAGCTGATCTTACTAATAATGAGCCACACAGTAGTCATGAAGCTGACCTTACTAACAATAAGCCACACAGTAGTCATGAAGCTGATCTTAATAACAATGAATCACACAGTGGTCGTAAAGCTGATCTTACTAATAATGAGCCACACAGTAGTCATGAAGCTGACCTTACTAACAATAAGCCACACAGTAGTCATGAAGCTGATCTTAATAACAATGAATCACACAGTGGTCGTGAAGCTGATCTTACTAATAATGAGCCACACAGTAGTCATGAAGCTGACCTTACTAACAATAAGCCACACAGTAGTCATGAAGCTGATCTTACTAACAATGAACCACACAGTGGTCGTAAAGCTGATCTTACTAATAATGAGCCACACAGTAGTCTGGAAGCTGATCTTATTAACAATGAACCACACAGTGGTCTCGAAGCTGATCTTACTGACAATGAACCACACAGTGGTCGAAAAGCTGATCTCACTAACAATGAGCCATACAGTGGTCGTGAAGCTGATCTTACTAACAATGAGCCACACAGCAGTGGTCGTGAAGATGATCTTAGTAACAATGAGCTACACAGTTGTCGTGAAGCTGACCTCACTAACAATGAGCCACACATTGCTCTTGAAGCTGACATTACTAACAATGAGCCACACAGTGGTCGTGAAGCTGATCTTACTCTCAATGAGTCACATATTAGTTGTGAAGCTGATTTTACTATCAATGAGCCACACAATGGTCGTGAAGCTGACCTTATTAATAATGAACCACACAGTGGTCGTAAAGCTGATCTTACTAACAATGAGCCACACAGTGGTCGTGAAGCTGATCTTAGTAACAATAAACCACACAGTGGTCGTGAAGCTGATCTTGCTAACAATGAGCCACACAATGGTCGTGAAGCTGATTTTACTAACAATGAACCACACAATGTTTGTGAAGCTGACCTTATTAATAATGAACCACACAGTGGTCGTAAAGCTGATCTTACTAACAATGAGCCACACAGTGGTCGTGAAGCTGATCTTACTAACAATGAGCCACACAATGGTCGTGAAGCTGATCTTACTAACAATGAGCCACACAGTAGTCATGAAGCTGACCTTACTAACAATAAGCCACACAGTAGTCATGAAGCTGATCTTACTAACAATGAACCACACAGTGGTCGTAAAGCTGATCTTACTAACAATGAGCATACAGTGGTCGTGAAGCTGATCTTACTAATAATGAGCCACACAGTAGTCTGGAAGCTGATCTTACTAACAATGAACCACACAGTGGTCGTGAAGCTGATCTTACTGACAATGAACCACACAGTGGTCGTAAAGCTGATATCACTAACTATGAGCCATACAGTGGTCGTGAAGCTGATCTTACTAACAATGAGCCACACAGTGGTCGTAAAGATGATCTTAGTAACAATGAGCTACACAGTTGTCGTGAAGCTGACCTCACTTACAATGAGCCACACATTGCTCTTGAAGCTGACATTAGTAGCAATGAGCCACACAGTGGTCGTGAAGCTGATCTTACTCTCAATGAGCCACACAGTGGTCTTGATGCTGATCTTACTAAAAATGAGAAACATAACGGTCGTGAAGCTGACCTTATTAATAATGAACCACACAGTGGTCGTAAAGCTGGTCTTACTAACAATGAGCCACACAGTGGTCGTGAAGCTGATCTTAGTAACAATGAACCACACAGTGGTCGTGAAGCTGATCTTACTAGGAATGAGTCACACAGTGGACGTGAAGCTGATCTTTCCAATAATGACCCACACAGTAGTCTTGAAGCTGACCTTACTAACAATGAGCCACACAGTGGTCGTGAAGCAGATCTTACAAAATATAAGCCACACAGTGGTCGTGAAGATGATATTAGTAACAATGAGCCACACAGTGGTCATGTAGCTGGTCTTACTAACAATGAGCCACACAGTGGTTGTGAAGCTGATGTTACTAACAATGAACCACACAGTGGTCGTGAAGCTGATCTTACTAACAATGAGCCACACAGTGGTCGTAAAGCTGATCTTGCTAACAATGAGATACACAGTGGTCGTAAACGTGATCTTACTAACAATGAGCCGCACAGTGTTCGTGAAGCTGATCTTATTAACAATAAACACACAGTGATCGTGAAGCTGATCTTACTAACAATCAACCACACAATAGTCAGGAAGCTGATTTTACTAACTATGAGCCTCACAGTGGTTGTGAAGCCGATGTTACT